TTTGGTTTTATTTCTCATTCCTCTAGTCTGTATTGCTTAGGAATAAAATAGATGAATTCCCTCTCTCAGTTCAGTGTTTTGCTTGTGACGAGATAATTAGTTCCTTGTCCTTACCTTGACCCACAAGCTTTTTGTTATACATTTTCTCCCCTGCCTAGAGAAGGAGGGGAGTGATACAGCAGCTCTGGTGGGCACCTGGCCCTTGGCCAGGGTCAACCCACCACAATATTAAGGAAAATATTTGGTATGCTTATTGGGGGAAGAGATTCATAAAGAGACAAAAGGCAGAGGCAACTTGAAGTAGCAATATAAGTGTGCATGCAAGTGATGTTCTCTGTATCACATCTTTTGTGTTAAGGAGTGGCTAAGGCCACTCCAGCAAATAGAAGTAGACTAGTCAAGTCTTAAGAGATGAGATTGCAGTAAAGGGGACAGAGTTTCATTATTAAAGTTTCTGCTAGCCCTGGAATTTCTAGAATGGGACTAGCTAGCAAATACTGAGATAAAAATGATTATTTTAATGGTGTATTTAAATGGTTAGTAAGGACTATGCAAAGGATTGTTTTTGTGTAACTGTTCTGAGTATGAATGCTGACATCAAAGTGTAACAAAAGAATGGATCTCTACTGACTCAGAAGAACAGTCTCTAAACAAAAAATTTAAAAGTAGCAATGTCTGTAATATTGGGCAAGATGCCAAAGAGCTTTAAATCTGTCTTTTGAAAATAAGTTGTAAGTTATTTGTTAAAAACACTACTGGACCCTAGACAAGGACAGTTCATGTTCTATTCAGTTTTCCTGATGCTGCTTTTGAAAATTGTAATCCGATAAAGAAAAAGAAAGCTTTGGCTTTTAATAGCTATTAGGATTGTGTATTCAAGGGCACAAACTGGTGTGACTCTGAGTAAAAGTTTCATTGTTGAAAAGGATGACTTCTTTTTTTTAAAGACTAAAAATACAAGTCTGTACATCTTTTCCTGTGCCTTTTGCTGAGCTGAGCATACATTCAGTCTAACTTTTGCAAGGAAGAACTTCACTGATAGTGTTGTGGGTTTGGGCATTCCTTGAAAAAGAAAGAAGCCTCCAGAGAAGGATACTTGAATTAAATTCTTTCCCTGATTTAGAGATTTTTCTCTCAATTGTCAAAGAACGTGCTCAAAAGACAGCAGAAATTATTTTTAGGATGTGAGTTGGATTATAAATGTCAAAAATAAATACATTGTTCTTAGCTTTCTGATGATATGAAAACCCCTGTTGACATTTTCTTTTTGAACTATTTTCTTTTGGTTGATAATAATTTCCAATGAATAATTGGAAAAATTAGGAACTGGGCTTGTTTTCCTAGAGGACTGGACCTTTACATCAGTGGTTTGAAGAAGTTTGCATCTTCTAACTTGCTATTTTGCAGCTTTTAAGTGGAACTTGATAGGATTGTCTTGAATGTTATTTAGTAATGTTAACATAGAAACTTGCAGCTCTGCGTTTCAGGAGAAATCCAGGTGTCGGTGTCACAGCTGTTCTAGGTTTATTATTAATACTTAAGTTTATTTTAAAAGAAAGTGTATTAGGAAGTCTTTGCAGTCCTATGTGTCTGTCTTTAGACGTTGTTTCAAAAGAGGTGCGTTACTGCTGAAGAAGTCAATGAGATGATTACTTGTCTCTATGGCAACAATATATCGGCTTTCTATCTGCATCTCCATGGCCCTTAAGAAATGTTTAAATAAGGCTTTGCCCCCACACCCCGTCAGTGATCTTAACAAATCCATACCTTTTGTTCCTAACTGGCTATTTTCCTGTCCTCAGAGATCGTTCAGAAACGATGCAGGGTAAATAACATGTGCAACTGGAAACTATACCCTTCTTGGCAATATGTTTTTGGTCATTAATCTCAACTTGAATTTTATCACCATTACTTTTATTTAAATTGATGGCTTATGGAACAGAGATTTCAAAATCACAAAAGTGCTTCTGAACACCTTGCAATGATTATAAATTGAAAAATATTATGAGCTTTTGAAGATGCAGAAAAATGGGAGAGATTTGTTTCATTTTAAGATTGATTCTTTTTAACACTTCTAAGACTTAGTTGTGATCTCTGGGAAGTAATCAGAAGCTCAGGTTTTGTCTTACCATGAAATGAGTCACAGAAGATAAGGACTTAAGTAATATGTATGTAATGTCACTGGAATAAACCAAGTCATTCCAGACAGTAGTAATTTTACTGTCCTGCTATTGTTCAGTGCATATTGAGATTTTTCTGAGTGTGTTTAGCCAAGGGTTCTGAAGCTAGCATATCTGATGATTCAACAGCTATGACTTCTGAAGGATTTGTTATGTTTCAATGTGCTGCTAATAGGGAGGTTTGCTGGAAGTTCAGTCATTTTTAGAACAGAAACCAGCAGGGCATGTATGTTTATAAATAAATAAAAGTATCATCTGCTTGGGAAATGACATAATTAGCCTGTACTCCATCGTAATGTGACAGTTTAATTCTTGTGTTGATTTTTAAGTGACTGAAAATAAAATCCATTACATGCAGCAAGCATGAGCTGCTCTAACAGCATGAGATTATGTCCATTTTTGTTCATCTTTGTTAATCCTACAGCAGATTTCAAAAGTACTGATCGTAAAACTACTTGAGGAAATGGGAGGACAATGATCAGTGTCTCAAGATTTACAGTTGAAGTCTAGGCACTAAATTTCACTTTGCGGGCAGTGATAACTTTTCCGTGTACAAAACAAGTTGCTTTAGAAAGTTAAAAATCTAACTGAAGCCCACGTGCTATGAATCATCCTTTGCAGAACCTTTCAAGCAATAACTCCAGTTATTTAGTATATTATAAGCTATGTAGTAATTTTAGCTTCTCATTAGGAGAACATGCTTTCTGTTCAATTTTATTTAATTTCACAAATTTTTTTTAAAACATATTATCATGATTAACAGAAATATATTGCTTTTTGTTCTTGTCTGTAGGAACTTATCATGGCATGCTGCATTGGAAACTCAAAGTAAAATGTATATACCCCACTCTCATGCGTTTATAGATTTAAGTAATGACTTCACTGCTGGTAAGTCATAGTAGTGTTAAATGTCTTCCTGAAATATTTATCACTAAGTATACAATGTAATGTATTGCAATTTCCTTCTAATATTTTAGTGAATTTCATTGATGGTTGTAAAGAGTTGGTTCTGGAATGTTGTATTCAGTAATTATGAGTTGGCTACTTCTGATTTTTTTTTAATTATTTTATTTTAATATCTCCAATTTGAAGATTCTGGGGTTTTAAAAAATAACCGCCAAAAGTAATAACGTAATAATGTTTTCTACTTGATTAATTAGTTTCTACGAACTAATGTTTATTCTGAATAATTTCACATTCACCATTAAAGCATTGTTTCCTGTTCTTCATGATGCTGTACTCGAGTATTCAGTTTGCAACAGAATCAGGAGGAGGGCTGCATTTTCTTCATCTTGAGTCTGAAAATAGTTTTATAGTTCATTCAGAAGAATGTTTTCCAGACTGGACTTACAATTTGTTTCTTGAAGATTTCAATGTGACTTCATTCTGTTTTGTTATAGTTAATTCTATCACTGATTGAGAAAATAGCATGTGAGACTTTATTTTTCTATTACTGTATGAGCAATCCTATAACCTATTTATAATTCAGTGTTCACAAACGAGTACTGGAGTCAACTTTTCTTATGGTAGATATACTGTATTTTTCCTTTGGTGGTTGTGACTTTGTTTTGGTTGGGGTGTTTTTTGTGAAATACACAATGCAATTTAGCCTTTGATTTACCACGATGAATCTATCTATCACTTACATACCTGGTTCGTATGTTCAAGCACATTTAGATATTGTGCTAAACTTAATTTCTTCACATGCTAAATGAATTCCGAAATGCTTTATCTTCTGCTAGATATGCAATGTACATCAATTTATATATGGTAATTTTGGAAAGAGAGCTTTTTTATTTTCCTCCCCCTATTTAGTAGCATGGGAATGAGAGAGCAAAGAGTCCATAAATTTAATTAAGATGCTTAGAAATGTTGGGGATTAAGTTAATTGCTTTAGCGCGTAGTCAAATCTTAATGTTCAGTTCTGGCACATTGCTGCATGAAGCTGTCAAATGGAAATTCCAACTGGAAAATTAAATATATGGTTGCTTACCATAATCAGTGTCATGTAATAACCAATTCTAACACAGTTCTATAAATCCTTGGGAATTTTGTTTAAGTTGCATGGGCAGCATAGAGGAGCATTCCAAGTAGTATTGTAAGATTAATATATTGAAACTCACAGGTAGGTAAAGGTAGGAAGACTAACTTGCTTATGTAGATCAATCACAGACTGATCAATTTTTGCAAGAGTGCGCAAAGGTTCTTATGACAGCTAACAGCCTAAAGAATGTCTAGAGAGTTCCAGGAAGTGCTAATGATATATGGCAGTTACTCTATTAAATAGCGGTGGAAGCCAGGATATTTGTGTGGGCAGTGCCGGGAGCTTTTATAGATTTACATCTATATTCATATCTCAAGACGTGAATAGAGGCTTCTATGAAGCACTCCCCATAGAAAGATCCTGACTTTTATTTCTTGTAACAGCAAGGATATAACATCTGAGGCTGAAATATGTGTTATGTTACAGCAACCTGAGGAAAATTTCAAGGAAAATAATTCATTCTGAGAAGAAAACTGGTGAAAATATTACCATAGAATAATTTTCTTTAAAATAATTTTTTGCTTCTAAGATGGGAATGGTAAATTGTTTTTTGCTGACCCTTTGAAAATTGGACCAACTGTGAACAAGGCATACATTGCTGAAAAATAATACCTTCTTGGTGATATCTGATATTTCACGACTGACGTGTTATTCCAAGACTGCCTGCTGCCAAAATGAAAAGTCACCAATCATCTGGTCCTGTCTGCATATTTATCACAGTTCCCTCACATAAGCCACAGTAACTGCTCAGGAACTGGGGCTGGGGGGGAGCACAGTTCATTTTCAGTTGCATTATTAAGCTGATGCAACTCGCCATGCAGCTTCAGGATTGCCAGAGCCAATGTAAGCACAGAGAGAAGGTTGACTCCTCTCTTAGTAGCAGCAGTTGTAGCCTGCCTTTAACCAAGCGTGAAATTGCACCTTGAGTCTCATTTTGCCTCTTCCAAAAAACACCTTTAGTGTTCTCACCATGTCATCTTTAATTTGTGTTAGTCTGTACAGAGTTGGGCAAGTAACTCGTAGAAGTAATCAGAAAAGTAGTCAACTGATACAAACTTTTTAAAAAGGGCAAAACAAAGCCCCAACTTGTATGTAACTGTCTATACAGTACTGATTGTACTGTAATTCTAAATGCACTCTGCCAAAGAGGGCCAAAATAAGGTGCTGATATTACTGCAGTGAGCCCACAACTAGTCCTGTGTGTCACTCTGTGCAGTCTGCATAGACTTTGCAGAAGACAGCTAACGCTTCTCCTGTTTGCTTAACTCTGTTCCTTGCTAGCATAGCTGGGGCAGCGCAACCTTCCTACACCAGCAGAGAGAGAAGTGTGATTCATATTTCTCAGTGGAGTCTATTACTTACTGGTTGGTTCAGGTAGAGGTAGTGGAGAGGAGAGGATTCTTGTGACTCGGTATTCTCCTCCACTACCATTTCTGAGTTGGAACAAAGCCTCATTAAGAATAGGTCCTCTCAGGCAATTTACTCACAGGCAATGCTGCTATTCGTGAGTTTGAAGATATAGTTATACCTAAAATTGATGCACTGATTTTTGTTTACAAATAAAAAACAAACCTCCAGAATATGCCATCTTTACTTGTTGTTTTTTGAGGGTTTTTAAAGAACTTTTTCTAATATTCTGCAATGTTTTGGGGCTCTTTGTATTCTGTAACAGATGCAGCCAATTCCATGATTTTTAGCTGGGCTATTTTTGGCAACTCTATCATTATAAACAGCTTAGGAGATTTAAAGTGTGCTTGACATAAAAAAAAAAAATCCTCTCTGGGCTGAGAATCTTTTTGCTAGTTTATTGCCTAACCCGTTTTCAACCTGCTGATAGTAAACCCTCAAAACAGAGCTTGTAATTGGCATGTTTTTCCTGCTCTGGGTAAAATAAAGTTGAATTGTTATGGTTTCATTATATGAGAACATGTTCATAAAGATGTTTTTAATCCCTAACACTACTTCATGAAAGGCTAACTGTGTAAGGATTTTATAATCCACAAATCCACTAACCAGAACAAAGATAATACTAATCTTTCTTGGTGAGATATAAACTAGACTGTTTCAGATAGTAATGCTGCTGCTGCTGTTTTTGAATAAAGCATCCTCATGTAGAAATTTTGGCTTCTTATAATTTTTAATTCAGTAAGTACTTTTTATTCAGGCCAGGAATTCTATATAATCCATGAAAAAATATTGCAGTACAAAACTTTTACCAAAGGGTCTATGTATGCTTTACAGATAAAGTAAATACAAAATGTGCAAATGTCTTCTGCGTGTGTATTAAGTGCATGTTGCTCCAGGGAGGAGTATCTAGTTCACAGAGTGGCTGAGATAAGAAGGGATGTCTGGAAATGGTCTAGTCAACCTACCTACCATCAATGACGCTGTTCATATGTGCACTGAGATAGACTGAAAGATGAGGAGAAAATGTGGTGACCCTTGTTAGAATAGGGCTACTGGGTGTTTAGTAATATTACTCACACTTGTGTGAGTTCTTTTTAACAGCTAGCTTAAGAAAATAATCTGAAAGCTCATAATAATAGGCTTGTCTGAACAGATTAACATCAGGTGTATTTTATAGAGCATTGGCAGTCCAGGTGAGCACTTCCAAAGCAGGGTCATCAAGTCAGAAGGCTGTCTTAAAAACGTCATATCCTCAAACTCAAAAATTTACATCAACGTTACATAACGAAAAAAGTATTTTTACAGGATTTGACTCTTTTGACTTACAGTGAAGGAGGTAAAAAGTAACTTCTCTTTGCATTAGTCCACTCAATTCAATTTCTTTCTCAGAAATGCGTTTCAGATGTGTTAGACGAGAGATGGAGAGAATACCGTTTAATCGAGCAAAGACTATTCACAATATGGTCTTTATACTGAAGATTTTACAACTGAAATACATGAAGGTGAACCATGGAGGAAAAAGTGTTAGAGCTGCAAACTGAGGCCGAGATAGGTAAAAGGACTTGATAAAGACCACCCAGAAATGGCGTAGGGATGGGTACCAATACAGCTCATCTATTTAAAGCTAGACACTAGAGAGGCATGTTTTGTTTATGCCATTGTTGATTTGCATTGCAGTCAGCATTTTCAGACAAATACTTTGGACCAAGCTGAAGTTTAAATTTAGCATGAGTCACTAGGTGAACACTGATCAGACTGTCTCTACATAAGCTCTCATAGGTGTATCGAGAGTGCTTTATCTAAAGTTGAAATTTTTATGATAGCAATTATTTTGCTACATGTCTTTTTTTCTAATTAATTAACTTGATTGTTTCTATTTAAAACATCCTAAACTGCCAAATGCTCATTTAGGGCTAATGCTGTCTTTCTAAGCCAAAAATGTAGTACTTAATTACTTGGGAAAAAAGGATTATTAATAAACAATAAATTTGTGTGCACTCAGTTACAGGTCTTCTTTCAAGAAATCAGGCCACAGCCCTGCAAATAGTTTTGAGACAAATTGCCTTGGACTCTGAAACATACTGTTACTTCATTCTGTACATCTGCCAACGTATCCTTGAATGCTATAAGCAATAGCTAATGTATAGAATCATAGAATGGTTAGGGTTGGAAGGGACCTCAAAGACCATCTAGTTCCAACCCCCCAGCTGTGAGCAGGAACACCCTCCACTAGACCACGTTGCCCAAAGCCTCATCCAACCTGGTCTTAAAAACTTCCAGGGATGGGGCATCCACAGCCTCTCTGGGCAACCTGTTCCAGTGCCTCACCACTCTCACAGGAAAGAATTTCTTCCTAAGATCTCATCTAAATCGACCCTCCTTCAGCTTAAACCCATTCCCCCTTGTCCTGTCACTACACTCCCTGATAAACAGTCCC